TTTTAACTGTTTTTTGTTGTATATATTCTTCAAAATCAAATTTTTAAAAATTAATAAAAAAAGAAAATGGGGCACTTGGAGGACCTGACAGATGTGTTTGAATGGCACAGCTATGACTCACATTTGTATTTGTGGAAGAGGAAAGTTTCTTGCAATTTCCCCTTCCCAGTCAAACTTCACAAAGAGGAGGCTGCACTAGGCTCTTTAGCAATCAGCATTTCTTGATATCTGAAAGGTGCCATGCAGCCTGCAGAGCTTGCTTCTTCTCCTCCTCTAGGTCCACTGGTGTGTCCCCTTAGGGTGTATAATCAACTTCCTTTCTACCTAGTCCTCCAAGCCTCACACATCCTGTTCCCCTATATCTACTTGCTTCTTCCCTTTCAGCTCTTCAAGCCAGCTGGTCAGAGTCAGTGGAGAGGGAAAGGGTTAAGTAGTCCCTACCTTCCTGTTGGTGCAAGGAAAAATAAATATATAGAAAGGACTATTCCTGGATGCCAAGATACAGGCTTGGGGCAAGCAATCTTTGGTGAGATAACCCCAGCAGAGATTTAAAATCACAAAAATATGCAGCAATATAGGCTGTTAGACCTTCAAAATGTGCCTTTAGGAGTTCCAGAACTTGCCTCTTCCCCCAACATAGGAAAAAGATATGTTAAAAATTGGTTTCGTTACACACTCTTCAAAGGTCAGGTTCCATACATCTGTCAGAAAAGTTGCACAGGCAGTAAAACTTCGTTTCGTTCCCAAGTGGTGAAATCTAAATTATTGGTATATTAACAAAAGAATGACTTGTGAGAGCCATGTGGTCTGAGCTGGTTGCTCCAATTCAGACCTCCTCATACGTTGAGCTTCTCAGGTAGACTGGGGAAACAAAGGCTTGATTACCTCTCAACATGAGCTAAGTCTGGTTGGACAGCTTATGGTCTTAACCCCTTCACACATTAATTAGACTTAAGCATGTTGGTTATATGAGGCTGGTTATCCCATGCTTCCAGCTTATTCCAGTTCATTGCTACCAATGCCTCCCTGTATTACTATTTTGGGAAAGAAAGGTCACTGGGTCTTGCAGAGTGCAGTTCTATGCTTAACAGTGCCTGATGCTGGCTGGACTTCTCTTTGTGCCTGTGCTAAGGGAGTATGAACGTTCACAATCATTTATACTTCATCCTCTCCTGCATTTTTTTTTAAAAAAGAAATTACCAGTCATTCTGATGTTTGTGAGCAGCTGAAATGTATTTGCTCCTGTCAATACTACTCTTATTGCATCCCTTAACTTAAAGTTTAAGCCAGTATGGTTCAGTGGATGGAGAAATTGGAGCCATGAGATCTGGACTTAGATCTCACTTCAGCTTTGAACATAATAGGCTGTTTTGGAAAGTTGCTGGATCTCAGCTAACCACCACCACCAGATCAATCCAGCTTTCTCAGATTAACGACAAATTGGCTAGACACTTTCATAGGCCTCAATGAGGTCCCCAGGTTCCCAAAACATCAGTCATACTTTCAAGATGAATTTGGACCTCTCTCTCGCACACACACCTATATGACTTACTACAAGTGTATGGATGACAAAGAGACTCAATTTGACTAGGAAATGTGCCCTTTTCTCCCACAGATCTATCATAAAGCTGTTCAGAAACTAGTTGCTTTATTCAAGACACATATCAATAGCTGCAAACATGTGATTTCTGTTTCTATATCTGGAATGCTGAACTTTCGCACAACAGACTAGCAGGCATCATCAGAAAAAGCTGCATAGCAACTTGAAAGGTGCAAGGATATACTTTTTAAAACAGCTGGTTTTATTCTAATTTTATTTGTTAGCTAACTAGTTTTTAACATTTTATTTTATCAGTAATTTTAATGTATATTTCATATTTTACGTAATCTGTATCTGGGTTTTTTTCCTGATTAACCAGTGTATAAATCCTGTTAAAATAAAGCAAATAAAATATGAAAGAGCCTGTCACTCAGCACTTCTTTGAAGGTAGGCTTCTCAATGCATTCATGGATGAAGTGGGAGCCGAATACAGATCTCAGATCTGAATTAGATTCAATGCGACAACTGGACTGTCTTAAATTAGAAGCTAAGAAATGCATTAGGTAATATTGGTTGGAGGGGAAATCTTCCGGTCTTCCACACAAATGACAGAATGATTGGTCATTTCTAACAGAAAATATGAAGCAGGTAATAAAAAAAAGAAAAAAGAAAGAAAATATGAAGCAGGAATAAGTCTACACAATATTGATTTTTGAAGAAAATATTGCAGTCTGTTAGTGCCAAGATGCAGACTGGCCATTTTGAAAACCCCGCCTTTGCAATAAGTACACATTCACTTCTGTTATGAGGGTGGGCGGAGTCTCAAGCATGTGATGTCACTTTTCAGCAAGGTGAAATAATCCACAGAAGGAAGAGAGAATATTTCACTACAGCAGTACTCCATGCTAATATCGTCAGAATTAACTTCAGAGGCATAGGCACAATGATGACTGACTGTTAAACAAAGCATTGGTTTATTTATTGCTTCCTCAAAGCAAAAAAGAGAGTGGATGCTATTTTAGGCTACATCGACAGAAGTATGGTATCCAGATCAAGGGAAGTAATAGTACCACTCTATTTTGCCTTGGTCAGAACCCACCTAGAGTACTGTGTCAAGTTTTGGGTGACACAAATGCCGAACTACATCCCTGGTCAGGGATGATGGGAGTTGTAGTCCAGCAACATCTGGAGGGCTACAGGTTCCCCACATCTGCTTTACATCAATCAAAATGGCAAATACAAAGGAAGTGTCCTACAAAGAAGGGCATGGCCTTTTCCGAGTACATCACTTGGCAGCCTTCTTTGGATTCCATGTGCATATTCCAGTGCTTTTTTTCTTTAAACAAAATGTTTAGGGGTACTCTCATTTTGACTCAAGAAAACCACCATTTTGTAGTTCAAACTGGGGAAAATAAATACAGTAAATGGACAAAAGTACAAGGATTCACAAAATGTTTAGGGGTATGCCCCCAGAAAAAAAGCACTGGCATAATCTATATATTTCCCCCTGTGTTTGGACCTCTTTTTACTGATATTTATTTATTTATTTACCGTGGTACCTCGGGTTAAGTACTTAATTCGTTCCGGAGGTCCGTACTTAACCTGAAACTGTTCCTAACCTGAAGCACCACTTTAGCTAATGGGGCCTCCTGCTGCCGCCGCACCGCTGGAGTACGATTTCTGTTCTTATCCTGAAACACTATTTCTGGGTTAGCAGAGTTTGTAACCTGAAGCATATGTAACCTGAAGCGTATGTAACCCGAGGTACCACTGTATTTATTTATTTTTGTAGAACACAAATTATGATTTACTGGCATACAAATTTTTGTTTTATTCCTGTTGCTGATATATCAAACCTCTGCTTCAAATAGACACCTGGTTGGGTTTTCCTAGACCTCCATAAGCCATCTAACATCACATTGCCACAGTGGGATGAGAGGACAGTTATTTGGATATAGGTTTCTGGATGAAGTGCAACTCTTGTATGGAACAAATGGGGAATTGCTCTGCAGATCAGCAATCCCTGATTCTCAGCCCTGGCTAGTCACTACTCCCCCTTCTCTCTCGCACGATAAGAGTGGGAGAGACAAGCAGCTAAAAGTGCCAGTACAAATGACAAGTCACTGTGAGCTCTTCATAAAGAGGTCAGTAATCGTATCCCTTCAATATTTATTGGTCCCGTTTTTCAGAAAGTTCTGTTTTCTGCACTCTCAAAGCATATAACAAAACAGGTTTTATTGCAGATGCGAGGAAGAGTCTATCTCAAGCACACACACACACACACATACAGAAAAGTTCTTTTTCTGTCAGCAATGTCCTTTTTATGCAGAGGGCACCATTTGTATGAAAATAGGGACCATGCTGCTAAGGAATCATAATAAAGCTGCTGCTCTTGGCATGTCTTTCTGGGGTTGATCCTGTCATTTTTCCTAAAGACCCAGTAGGACCACCATTCTGCGGCCTGTTGTATTATTTCCACAGCAAGGGGAGCCCCTTGCCATGTCACAAAGAGAAAGATTAGGACTTCCAGTGGGGAATAAAGCAGCAGCAGGTAGAGAATGCTTTAAAAGGAATCATGTAAATGGGCTCAAATAATAATAAAAAGAAGAAGGCGGCAGCACATTTAAGAGGTGAATGCAGAAAATCGGACACTTCTTGAACTTCGGATCTCTTTAATAGTTTTGGGGTCAAGACTGCAGTATTTTAACCTTTTTCCAAATTTTTTGTTGCTTCCTAAATCTGCATCTAGCCAATCTTTTAAATGAGCTTTGTCCCCCAAGAACCCAGGCACGCTGAAGCCAATTCCTTGTTTGTGAATGTGGGCAGGATTGCAGATTGTTTTAACTGATTTTTATATTTGTATATTATTGTGACCACCCTGGATCTTGAGGTGCAGGATGTTCAGGAAACCCAATCATCATCATCATCATATTATATATACTTATACAGTAGTACCTCGGGTTACATATGCTTCAGGTTACAGACTCCGCTAAACCAGAAATAGTGCTTCAGGTTAAGAGTTTTGCTTCAGGTTGAGAACAGAAATCGGGCTCTGGCGGCACGCCAGCAGCAGCAGGCCTCATTAGCTAAAGTGGTGCTTCAGGTTAAGAACAGTTTCAGGTTAAGTACAGACCTCCAGAACGAATTAAGTACTTAACCCGAGGTACCACTGTATTTGAGTATGCCCCAATGACCAAAGTGGGTTTTGCTTCTGAGTAAACATGCATAGGACTATGTTTTTTAAGTGGAGGTTGGCTATGGAAGGCGGTTTTCTGACACATTTGTGCCATTTGTGATTAGAGTTACACCAAAGCAACAGCAATGGCATATTATTATCCTATTTTTCTAGGAGAGTTCAGATTAATATCCTCATTTGAAAGCACATAGAATCATAGAATTGTAGAGTTGGAAGGGACCATGAGGGTCATCTAATCCAAAGCCCTGCAATGCAGAAATCTTTTGCCCAATGTGGGGTTTCTTGAACCTACAACCCTTAGATTGAGAGCCTCGTGCTCTACCAACTGAGCTGTCCCAGGTCATCAAGTGAGGGGATGTATGGAGTTGAAACTTTGGCTTGATCCAGCAGAGCTCTTGGTACGTTCTGATTTTATCCAAGAAACAGAACTCCAGTTGGACAATACAGCTGTGGTTGGCAGGTGATCAGAGAAGCAATGTGAGATTGCTCCACTTGCTTAAGTTTAGTTGCAGTGTAAGTTACAGCAGGGCATGGGTGGCAAACCTCAGGCCCAGAGGTCAAATACAGCCGTCCAAGCCTCTCTCTATCTCTGGCCCTTGGGACTGTTCCCAGGCTATACAACCTCTCCAACCACATCCTCTCTCCAGAGGCCAGCAAGGCCAGCTGCCAAATGGAGAGATATCCTTGAGAGTAAGATAGGAGATTCAAAGATCATGACAGTGCCCCCACATTCTAGTCTGTGCTCATGATATATCAAGTACCTGGGTGGACAAAGCTAGGTAAGGTCTACTCCTCCCAGCTCACCCACCCAGATCTCCGTGAGGAATGCCAGATCAACTCCCTCATTCACCATCAAATCATGGATGAGTGAGGTCTTGCTGTGAACTGACCTGGTATTCTATCATTGAACAGCCAGACTGGATAGTGTTATCGGAGTAGAGCAAACAGAAACTTGAGACTCTGGGGTTTTAGAGCTCAACCATGCTTGGTGTGCAACCTGATACCTCATCTCTTCTGGTGGAATCTTCTCCACCCAGTTGCAACCCAGGGTCACTGGGATAGAAGAAACACCCCCATTCCTACCCAACCTCACTCTTCCCAAACACACATTGAAGAAACAAGTACAGTGGTACCTCGGGTTACAGACGCTTCAGGTTACAGACTCCGCTAACCCAGAAATAGTCCCTCAGGTTAAGAACTTTGCTTCAGGATGAGAACAGAAATCACGCTGCGGCAGTAGGAGGCCCCATTAGCTAAAGTGGTACCTCAGGTTAAGAACAGTTTCAGGTTAAGAACGGACCTCCAGAACGAATTAAGTTCTTAAGGTTATGTACTGAAGTTCTCACCCTGGGCCAGCAGGGGGATACTGTAGATAGTTTTCACTCAGGTCCACATCAGTTACTTTAGGCGGGAAACCCTGGGTTGTTGTTGCTACAATGTTGACAGCCGGCTGCCTATAAAAGCAGGCCGGCTGAGCTGTTTGCTGTTGAGTTCTGTTCCAGCTTACAAAATAAAGAGCTGCTTTGGAGAAATCGCTGTGTCGTCTGCCATGTCTACCCACTATTCAACACTTAACCCGAGGTACCACTGTACCCTCTCACGCAGTTAGCTATTCAATAATTCCCAACAGATCAATGCCATATAAATCCCCAAAACATCAAACTGGGAGCCAGGCGCAACAATCTAGGGTGCAGAGGTGTCTTCAGCCCCCTCAATATTTGTTTGAAGGGGGCCCACGCCACCCCCAATGTTGAGGGGCCCTGGTGCAATGTTGCAGAAGGCTGCCCCGGCTTGCACAGCATTGGGAAATGTGAGTGACAATGCACAGCATGCGAATGATATCGCACCCGTGCAACTTGCGCCAGTACAGTTTCCTCTATCTCTCACCCAGGGAGAGCAGAGCTCCACGCTTAAAATGGGTGCTCCCATTTGCCGATATAATGCCTCATTCTGCTTGCAGCATCGTTCCTTGTTGATTTCTGTGTTATCACTTTTTAACAAGAACATTTTCCTTCAAAGTGCCACGTGGGCTCTGCTCGACTCAAATATAGCAATAATCACTGAAACACAATTTCCGTCTGCATAGCGAAACCGAATGAGATCTACTTGTGCTATTTCACCTTTTTGCAAAGTCAGAATGGAATTGTCCTGAGCCTACCGTAACGATCAACGAAAACATTCTCATCATTACAACAATTAAAGAAAATTGGCATAGCTTGTGAGAGGAGCCCCTGGAATACTAATCCGCATGCTGGAGCTTTATTTGAAAAGATATATCCTGTTCTCTCTCTCTCTCTCTCTCTCTCTCTCTCTCTCTCTTTCTTTTTCCTTCCCAGGTAAAAGTATTCTGTGGAAGGAGAAGGCTGGTCAGGTATTGCCATTAGTATACAGAAAGGGAAGAGTTGAACATACTGCAGAATCAGCATCTTAAAAGGCACAGCGTGAATCAAAATCTTGCACTGATGCCCACGTAGACGATTCCTGAGGATTTCTGACACCGTGCAGGGCTTCAGCTATTCACTGCTATGTTTAAATTATACATTGCACAGTGAGAAGGGAAGAAGGGGAGGAAGAAGCTTCACATCATACTACTGTGTAAGCTCCTCACCCTGGCTTCTGGCGTTTAGATCTTCCACGATGTTCCCTCCTTTGAAAACCTAAATTAAGGAGGGCATAAGCAGGAAGCAGGTTTCCTTCCCCCCCCCCCCATGCTACCTCTCTTCAACACTACTTTTACTTCTTATTTTCCAATGTCAATGCAAAGGACACATTTCAAAGTATTTTGCACGTGTTTTCTCACTCTAACCCTAGTTCCAGTTCCATTTGCTCCTTCAGCCAGTTCCACTAACTGGAGCTGTCTGGACGGTGCGCCAGGTTGAGCAGGACATTAACGATTCAAACAACATGCACCCTTTTTTTTGTGAATAACAGCAGCAGAAAGGAAGTCTGAGCAGACCTAGGAAAAGGATGTGAGGGAGAGGAGAAAGACTTTAAACTCTTCTCTCTCTGCTATCGTTCTTCTTCGAAGCTGCTATTTGCATTTCATTCAACTATAGGTTTTTTAATTAAATTATCAACCAACATCGCGAACACTTTATGGAAAGCAGGTTATAAATAGTGTAATAAAATTAATTAAAAATGGGGGGAACACAGGGATGCAACACTGTCCAGCTTTTTATTTTTTTATTTTTATTTTATTTTACAATAATATTTATTAAATTTCATCAATAGACATAACAAAAAAGAAAATATACAAAAACACAATAGAAAAGTGAAAAAGAAGAAGAAAAAGTAACAAACTTAAGATACCTAAACAGAAAAAAAGAAACTCAATTAATTCATTAAAATGCATTTTCATAAACATTTTGGTTGACTTCCTCTAATCTCCTCCATCTGAATTTCCTCTTAATTTGAATGTAGCAGTTTCCAATATCATTATTTCATAAAACAATATTACAGTCATATTCCAATTTCTTTACCTTTCTTATAATACATTTTCTTATTTATATATTTAAATCTAATTTAATCCTAGGCCTGATTGGTTCTTTCAAGTGATTACATATCTTTAATATTAGAATATTTGTTCAAATAGTCTTTAAATTTCTTCCAATCTTCTTGGTATTCCTCTTCTTTCTGGTCGCGGATTCTCCCGGTGAGATCAGCCAGCTCCATGAATTCCATCATCTTCATCTGCCAAACACTGTCCAGCTTTTTAGCACTCTTCTGTTTAGACAAGACTTTTAAATCACTGATGTAAACTGAGCACCACTAATTTTGTTTCTATAAAATAGGGGGGGGTATGAATTTTAGGTTAAGCTTCAAAAAAGAAAACACTAACTTGAAGAATGATGAATGTTGGGTTTTTTAGATTTTGCCCTATAGATTTTGCCCTATAGGGGAAAAAACCCCACCCAAAACTAATGAAGAGGACTGGGAGGGAGAATGTAAATAACAAGGTAGATCGAATAGAGGGATGGCAAAACAATACTCTTTATTTCGTAGAGGGGACATCAACAGCCCTAAAGCGATTGCATATTATATTATAGAACATACAATGTAGAAAGAAGTCAACACACACCATTCTTCCTGGGTCATTACTGTGTGCCCCTTGGATAGATGATTTGCATTAGAGTCAAACATCAGTCATCATATTCTTGAGCTACAGCTCTGCATTTTCATCTCGACAGGCTAATGGCAGCGGAGCTGATTTCACGGTCAATGTATACGCAAGCCAGACTAAGCCAGTACATAGTGCTAAAGTGAACCCAGCATTGGCATGAACCAAGCCAGCACTAAACAGGCACAAATAACCAGTGAACCTCATCCCAATTCAGACATAACTGCCATTGGGCTCAGTGGGCTTGAGATCTAAGAAACTGCCTCTAGGATTGTAGGCTAAGAAGCCCTCGCTGCTAAGTGCTGCTGATTTTATTACAGGGTCCGGCCAGCCATGCTGGTTGTACGCCAGGATATATCTGTGATGTTTGGGTTAGTCTCCACAGATTAGAATGGTTGCTGAAAATACAGATGTTGACCATCTCTGGTCTAGTATAAAATGAATGAAAACACTTCACATGGAGCTGACCCAAAATTTCTCAAAAGGCCCTCCCTTTTTCCTCTCTCTTAGAAACAGGCCACTTTGCAGAATTTTATTTCAATATTTTCTACCACTGGGGGGCAGGCTGGGGGCTGGCCAGTTTCCTCCCTCAATAGGTAAAAAATAAATAACTCTTGGAAGGTTAAGACCAGACAAAGGCGACTATGGGGTTGCAGCACTCATCTTGCTTTCAGGCCAAGGGAGCTGGCGTTTGTCCACAGACAGCTTTCTGGGTCATGTGCCCAGCATGACTAAACCGCTTCTGGTGCAATGGAACACTGTGACGGAAACCAGAGCTCATGGAAACACTATTTACCTTCCCACCACAGTGGTACCTATTTCTCTACTTGCACTGGCGTGCTTTCGAACTGCTAGGTTGGCAGGAGCTGGGACAGAGCAACAGGAGCTCACCCCATTGTGAGGATTCAAACCTCCAACCTTCTGATCCGCAAGCCCAAGAGGCTCAGTGGTTTACCCATAGCGCCACCCACAATATCACAGAAGGACACTAGAGCTGGGGCCTAGTGGACAGTGCAAAATGATAGATAGGAAGCTATGGGTTGTATCCAAGCAAATCACTCTACAAGCAAAACATCTATGAGTGCAATGGGACTTCCCCTTTCTCTCCTCCCCTATCCACCCAACACACCCCAAATATGCTCTGGGGGCCCTCCCAATCCTCTGGAGCAGTTTTGGGGGTAGTGTAGGGCATGTATGGGGAGAAGAGAGGGAGGGGAAGTTCCC